TGCAAATTGTCGGAAACTGACGAAAATCAGGCAGATCTGCGGGAGTTTACGGGGGTTTACGGGGACGAAAATCTCACTTTTCATGCAGTGATTGGTCCTTAAATGCTTTGAGGACGGATTGAGGGAGAGACGTTCTGGACGTTCCTCCTAAGAACCGAACCAGGATGTCTGGTTGGCCAATCCTCCAGCTTCAATCCAACCCAGTTCTTAGAGACCAGAACCAGAGGAGTCTGAAGATGTTCCTGTGATGGACTGGGTCAGTATGACACCTGAACAGGTTCCTCAGCACAGGAGACCTTCTACAGCTTCATTGATTCAACTTTATGAAACATTTATTGGTGTGGATTACTGGGAACCTTCCTGACGTCTGAAGTATAAAATCCCCAAAGAAACTCAGAGGAAAACAAAGTCTTTCATGTTTGTACACCTTTAATGTCTTTATACTTCATCGTTTTACAGCCTTTTGCTTCACTGAAACATTTCAAATTGAAGAACTCTCAGATTCGGGGGAAGCTCCCTAAAGCTAATCTAAGCGACAAGTCAAGGGTTGAACATTTTATTCTAAATATCATCAGCTGGAAAAAAGGGCCGCCTGGAGCTTTTCCTGTTTCCTGTTCATTGGAATCCTCTTCCTCAGCAGATTGGACAGCTCCTCCTCCTCATGGTGACAATCATTACAGGTTAGTTAGGAGTCACGTTTGGACAGCCAGACAGTTTTAAGTCTGCTGCACAGCTGGAACACTGATGGGTGTACAGCTGGTTTCCACAGACCGCTAGACAGTGGCGGCTCGCCATTAGAGGGCGCTAGGACGCCATATATATATATATATATTTTTTTTTTTTGATAATTTTATTTTAAACTAAAATTTTAAACATTTTGAAATATAGTGATATATATTTTTTGATGTGCAAGATAAATATTTAATCTTTCATATACCATTAAATCATAATTTCTTTTATGTCAGATTGGTGACATATTTCCAGATGTTTACCCATTGACTCTCTTTAAAAGTTATACATATGCAGTAGCTCCCCTGCAATATATAGCAGAGCTGACAGGAAGTGTATTTGCTCACCCGCCTCCCGCCACAGCACAGACGTTTTGCGGGTGATTGACAGGTCAAGCCGTGGGAGTGGAGATGCATTGGATAGAGAGAGAGAGAGAGTAATGGCGGTCCTTTTCCAGGGCCTGGTTTTGCTCCAAGGCTAGGCTAACTGCGTGCAGCGAGGCTAACTATGCGCAGCGAGGCTAACTGGATGCAGCGAGGCTAACTGCATGCAGCGAGGCTAAGGCTTTATCCTGCTTTCCCTGCCTCAAAGGTCAGGATCTGATCCAGCCTGGATAAAGGCAGCTAGGACTGATTTAAAGCAGTTTATAGAAAAGGAAAAGAAGAACGAACAATCTGGGATTCACATGGAAAATAATAGAATATAGTTTACATTTTCTAGATGTTTGTTCATAGTTGCTCTTAAATAAACACATTCTCAGTAAGTAAATAGTTTTTATATATTAAAAAATATAAAGCACCACTCAGTTTTCAGAAATGCTTTTTCATTTTAAGAATGTGGCTGCATTGTTTGACTCATAAATGAAATTAGTAATCAATAATCCTGTTTGTTTTTTCATTTTCTTCTTTCACACCGCTCATCCTTTTACTTAATTAAAAACAAAAAGACATTTGAGATTTATTTTTCAAAATGTACCCCAGCAAATACATACCAACATTTAATTTGAAAGCATTTCTGAAACTGCTTTTTCATTTGAAATATGGTAACGATTTGCTTCCATAACTTTAGATCACAGATGAAATGTTAAATAATAGCAAATATCGGGAATAATCTGTTCAGACTCCAGAAGAGATTTGATTCTTAAGAAACGGATACAATACAGTTTGTCTGAGTGGAGTTAGCATATGATGATGTCATAAGAAGGGGCGGAGCCCCGAGCAGATCTGGTAGCTACAGCTATGCTTTAACTGCGGCGTAATGCCCATGAAATGATGCACAAGCATGCCGTGCGTTATGCAGAAGGTAGGCCGTCGTTGGACAGAAGTTCTGGACTTATTATGAATAATTATGCATACGCCTAAAACTGAAAAATCCATAGAAAGTTCAGTGTCTGCCAGCGTTTTAGGAGATTCTGGGACGTCAGGCAGATCCTGGATAAATCAGCGAGGTGTGACAGGAAGTGCTGCCAATCAGCTGTTCAAAGAGGCAGTTTATTAAAGGAACGAGGGACTCGCTAAGTGAGAGAATAGGTGTGATCCATGTGGATGGACTCGGGATGAAGCAATAGTTCACTAACAATTCACCATCTCTCACTAGTCTGTGGGCAGTTTTTAGTTTTCTCGTCATCCTTCCTCCCTCAGATCAAATAGCAGAAATCACATTGAGAGAATAAAGGAATTATTGGGTAAACTACATAGAGCGGTCTGACATGTCGATGTTTCTGGGCTGCGTTAAAAAAGAGGGCGAGTATCCCCACTGCTGCAGGGACCACTGCACTACTGCAGCAGATGACAGGAAATACGGAACAACGAAGCTCGTCTCCAACAAGAGGAGTTCAGCACCACAGAAAGAGAGGAGTTAAAATGACATGGTGCAGAAAAGAAGGAGAAAATGCGCCGGGTTCGATCCTCCAACCAATGAGCTCCTCGTTCTTCCATGAAGGTCTGAAGCGCTCATCTTTCCTCTGCTGCAGGTGTGACCAGAGGATTTATTGACTGGCCATGTTAATGTGTGCTGCTATTTTGGTGAGAGGGTAGTTAGAGGTTCTCCTTCCTGCAGGGCCTGCTCCTCCTGACCCCCTGCAGCTCCTCCTGACCCCCTGAAGCTCCTCCTGACCCCCTGAAGCTCCTCCTGACCCCCTGAAGCTCCTCCTGACCCCCTGAAGCTCCTCCTGACCCCCTGCAGCTCCTCCTGACCCCCTGAAGCTCCTCCTGACCCCTGAAGCTCCTCCTGACCCCCTGCAGCTCCTCCTGACCCCCTGAAGCT